AGCCTTACATAAGTGTAGCCACACAAAGGAAGCTAGATTCAGCACACTAAGAAAAAAAAAACCCCTGCACAAATGTGTATTCACTAGACGCGCTTTTTGCAGAAAACACACATTCAAATCCTATCAGTTTCCATGTGAAAATTACCAGAGGGTATTCAACTAAGTTTTACTCAGAGCTGACCCACTGAAATTAACGAACATGGCTAAGTTAGGTCTATTAATTTCAATAGGTCTCCTCTGCGTAAAATTTAGTTGAATACCACCCATAAGCATTAGGATTTCCCAGAGTTTTCAGGTTAAAGATCTAATAAGGAAAAGGATGAGGAACCTGTGGGCCTCCAGATGTTGCTGGACTACAGTTTCTATCACCTGTAATTATAGGCCATGCTGGTAGTGGCTGATGTTGGGAGTCCAACAGCTGCAAGGCCGCAAGTTCCCCTTTCCTGAAGTGGAGGTAACAGCCCCTCCTATTCACTCATAGTATTTGTTCAAATGATTGGAATGGCCTTGCTTCAGACAAGAGAGAAACATTGTTCCATTCCACAGAGCATTTTTTGCACACATGTGTATATACCCTGGTGCAATGCCAAGATGATGCTTTCTGGATCACAGCCAGGTTATGAAATAAATAAAAACGTTTAGCCAACTCTGTGACTGCGAATCTATATTTTTATCTCTAATTTATATCACAAGTTGACCAATTCTTCATTTCCACATACACTATTTTACGATTCCTGAAAGCTCAGGTTTAAAATGTGACCTTTTAATAAATAAATAAACAAGAACCAGAACTAACTACCCTTCCAGTTTAGATGATAGAAAGCAGGAGTGGTGAAGCGACTTGACAAAGAAAGGTTTTCTGGCTCCTTGATCTGTGCTTCTGTTGCCACTATTAAAAATGATGGCAGGAAACTAAGACTTGGTCCTTTTTGAGTTGCATACAGACATGTTGTTTAAACAGCTCACCCGCTGGAGAAGCACCTTCACCATGTTCTATACAGTATACAATTCCCTTTTGAGCTCTGGAGAAATAAGTTCTGCCAACCAAAATCGACTGCACACAACAGATATTGGTTGGTGCTTGTGGTGTGACAAATCTGTCTCCTTCCCACCTCTAGAGCAGTGTGGCATACTTTAAAAAAGGAAATAATAATAATACCCTGAAAATGAAGTCATGCTCTGGCTTCTTTTTTAAACAGGAACCTAGTCTACCTGAAGATTGGTGGGAGCAGCAAAAGAGATAATTGAGCTCAGTGTTTGACTAAGTGATAAGTACTCTTTGTCAAACATGAGAGGAATGGGAGCAGGGAGCCAGGGCTTGACCCGTGGCCCCAGCAACCCCCATGTAAAGATCCATCTGTATGTACCCTTGGAATAAGAAAAGCCAACAACCTAAACCAGATGCATATTTACAGAAGTGGGTCAGGCGTCCCTATGGGATTGCTTTGTGGTTGAGTAGTTTCTGACATTTGATTTCATGACTGGGTAGAGAAGCAGCTCAGACATTGCGCGGAGAAAGAAAGGAACGGACGGAAGTAGGCTAATCAGGAAGAAACGTGACCTTGGAGACATTAAAAATACATGGCGTTTCAGTCTTTCAGTGAAGCTGTAACGCAGCAACACATTTAAAGTGAAGACTTCAGCTCTCCTTCCAGACAAGCTTTTGGTCCTGTGCAGTCCAGTTTAGCATTGGGCAGGGGACAATGCTAATGCCATTCTAGAGAGGAGACATCATTTATCTCGTTCCCTAGAATAGACCATTTTCACATACTTCACCTTCACCCTTCACTTGTTTCCCCTGTACATTTCTTCACGTGGTTTCCAGTCATATCATATCCTTCTTGGACCTCAGGACTCTTCATCACATCCCTCAGTCCTCACAATGAAAACACTATTGAAAACCTGCACATAAACTCAGAATTTTCTCTAATTTCTCTTCCCCCATCAACTACGCACATCATAGCCACAGGAGTGTTGGACTAAGACCTAGGAGACCAGGGTTCAAAACCCTGCTCAGCCATGAAATGCACTGGGTCATCTCTCAGCTTAACTTACCTCACAGGGCTGTTGTGAGGAAAAACAGGGAAGGGACAGTCATGTTAACCACCTTGGGTTCCTTGGAGAAAAGGGATATAAATTAAACAAATCAATAAATGACACTGGTGCACAGACTCAGGTTGTTTTTCAGCTTTCTTCACGTGATAGCTTGAAAAACCCTATCATGCTAATTGCCAACAGTTCAGGTTTTGGTGGCTGAACATCAACAAACTTAGCAGCTTATTGTGTCACATGTGTAGTTCACAAAGGCAATTAATTCACTTTGTCAATAGAAAACGAGGTTTGGGGATGCATCAGCACTATTTCACAGTCCAGTCAACACTTTGTTGTGTTCTCTCTTCACGCGTTCCACCCTCCCCAACGTCCAATAACTTCTGCAGTCACTGAAAGATGGGAGTCAAGTGATGCTCGATTGCCTATAATGTGTTGCAGATTCCATTGCCACAAGTACCAGCAAGTTACACAGCTTAGTCATGGTTCTCACAAAGGCTAATGCTCCCTCATCTGCAGCCCCCATGTCCCTTTGCATACTAGTTCCAGAGTCAGGGACCCTCCAGGATGGCATGTCAAGGAGCATAAGGAGGCTGTCTATGGACAGACAGACACAGCACACACACAAACACAAACATGCACACACATGCCTTCCACTCATGTGATAGAAGTGGCTTGGGTCCAAAGGTCTAACAGCTTAGTTTCACAAAATGGAGAAGAAAAGTAAGCCATGATCCTGAAGCATTTACATAAATTCACAGTAGTGCCAGTGAGAAGCAGCCATGGCAGAGGAAAAAATATCTGAACACTCATGGCTAAATTCACATGAGAAGCTACCCTTATTAGTTATGTGGAGAAAGGCCATAACTCAGTGTGGCAGAACATCTGCTTTACATCTAGAAAGTCCCAGGTTCAATCCTGGGCATATTCAGGTAGGGGTGGAAATGTACCATCTGAAACCCTGGAGAGCTGCTGCCTGTCAGTGTAGACAACACTGAGTTAGATGGACAATTGTTCTGACACAGTACAAGGCAGTCACTGTCAGATCCCCCAGCCAACGGCAGTGTTGTGTTATCTTCAGTGTTGACTAGCTATAGTAAAGAACCAAGCTTAAAGTCAGACATGTGTGAGCCTTGTGTCACACCTTTCCTGGTCCATTTCCATGGGGGGGGCGCGACCTATTTGTGGCCTGAAAGCTGATAGCCTAACACAGATACTGAGGAAAACCTCTAAACCTTTAATGCTAGCAAATATCCTGCACCTCTATAATATCTAAAAGATGGGCATAAGTAGAGCACAAAAGTACAGAGCTCCTGTGAGGTAATTTCACATGAAGGAAAGTTATTGCCCTAACTGTATTGTTCTTACTACTACACAACATGTTCCAGTTAATTTTTATTTACACAACAGAATTTGGATTTGCAGATTGGATGTGAAAGCACAATGTTTTAATATGCAGGGAACATTGACTGGGCAGCGAGCAACTTTGATGGTTCTAGTGTGACAGATGGAACCCTAATGAGGGAAGGATCCTTAGACTTTGTTCTAAACATAATGAAAGAATGCTAAGCTTCAAAGCACCAGTTCACACAGCTATTTCCATTGGAAAATGGGCAATGTGGCATTTTCTCATTTCATATGTTGTCTTCTGAAAGTTCTCCCATCTCTCTGTGTGAAAGTGCTTCCAGAAGTCCACTATATATCATCCTTAAATATTAACTAGATGGAATAATGAAACACAAGAATGGCCAGAATTCTACTTCATGGTTACATCAGCTAATTTTAAAAGAGAACAATGTTCAAGACAGTGATAAACTCTTATAGTTCTCTGTCTAGGATTTAGACAGCAAGATACAAGCAGCGCTTGTACTATTCATGATTCATCTCAGTGGCAGGAATAGAAGCCAGCTGGAGTTTACCTGCTTCCATAAATCCAAGCATCAACAAAAAAATGGGACTTGGGTTACTTAGAAAGAAAGCCAATTAACATAGAATTATAGAACTGTAGTTGGAAATGACCCTGAGGTCATCTAGGCCAGTGTTTCCCAACCTTGGGCCTCCAGCTGTTTTTGGACTACAATCCCATCATCCCTAGCTAGCAAGACCAGTGGTCAGGGATGATGGGAATTGTAGTTCAAAAACAGCTGGAGGCCCAAGGTTGGGAAACACTGATCTAGGCCAACCCCCTGCCAATGCAGGGGTTCTCAGCTGAAGCATCCATGACAGATGGCCACCCCAACGCTGCTTAAAAACCTCCAAGGAAGGAGAGTCCACCTCCTCTTATTGGCGTCGGCTGCAGTGTAAAACAGCTCTTACTGTCAGAAAGTTCTTCTGATGATTATGTTATTTTAATAAACATATTTAAAGTAGAAAGGACAGCCAATTCTAGTGGAAGTGTGTGATCACATATTCGACATCATAGACATACACCTGGTAGCCTGAAGGGTTATTAGTTAGCATTTAAGATGCAACCTTGTGAAGTTAACTTTTAAAATGAGACCTATAAATGGGAGTGAAAAATAGGGAGCCTTTTAGAAGCAACATATGCCTAGGAATAGCCCAAAGTACACAAACTTCATGGGAGGACGGCATTTCTGTTACCTATTAAAAGTCCAGTGATTGGCAAAAACTTCTGAGATCACAGTTTCTAACATGAGAAAGCTTGTGTTGATTGTTTACTCCTTCCCTAAGACCCAATACTAGTCATGTTGCAATGATTAGTTCTTTATAATCAATTGCGTACCGTAAATAAAAAACCAACACATTTTTACAGTATCTGGTTGCTATATTGAGAATCTCAAAGGGTAAGATACAGATAACAGGCAAGCCAGACACAGATGGGTTTTTTAAATTTATTTTATTAGGTTACCTGCTTAATTTAGTATGGTGTTTAAAAATTGATTTTAATGATAAATTAAGTTCAAGAAAATAAAAATCTGTTTTACACACACACACACACACACACACACAAACACGGTAGAACTAAACTCTGGTTTGCTTGTTTTTACCTCACACCGGACTTTGCACAGCACTCTTGCCTCAGACCTTATTTTTGGCTGAAACATGCCCGAGTGAAGACTGCATGTTCAGATGAGTTCATACAATCACGTGAAAAGAGAATGTCAGCACTGCAACATTCCCAGTCATTCTCATACAGCAAAATTTCTATTTAACCATATGCTGATAAACAATCCAAAACAAAATTTATTTTAAGTCATAGCTAAACACTCATGGGGCAACATTCATGGGACGGGTGGGGGGGAGTTTCACAACGGAATGACTCAGAAAAGTAACCACATAACAGCTTTTTTCTATAATAAAAAAGTCATGCACATTCTCCCTCACTGGCATATTTGAGAATCATGGGATGTGGACCTCAGGATCCTCAACTTCATTCCAGGTACCCATTTTGATTTAGAAGGGCTGGCATTTTTAAAACTGAAGAGCTCAGCATTTCATTTTTTTTCTTGAAGGATATTTGTACCATTTGGTCTCTAGAGCTTCCTTGAACTCTGCTGAACTGAAAACTTGTAACTTTTTACCTCCGATACAGATTGGTGCCGCTATTCCCTATTTAAAGCATGGGCTATTGTTCTCAAAAGCTGCTTGCTTCCCAGTTAGCATGGAATGGCTAAGATACTTGTTACCCCTTAGCAGACTTTAACCAGCCTTACTACTACTACAAAAGTGTAGTTAAGAGAGACTAAAGTGTGGGTTTTATTATTTCAGTGCACGATTATGATTAGAATGGGAACTATAATTCACACTGGTGATTGCAAGTACACATCTAAGCATTACTCCAAATTTACTCAGAATAGAAGGGCATGCACAGAGCTTGATAGCTCTGTGTTTATGGCATAAGTGTTGGGGTTGTAATACAGACCTCCCTACACCTGAAGGATCACTAGCTACACTATCAAACTCAAATTACCGGTAGCTCTGGACTACAATAGGATTCCTTGGACCTCAGAGGACCCCATAAGGCCTCTGGACCTTCTGCTTGAAAGCCCTAATCTAAAGGAGCAAGAACTGAATTGCAGACTTCCACCACTCACAGATATGCCTGAAATGACCTCATTAGATTTTTTTTCTTTCTTCCTTTCTTAATGTGGACTGTGGACATGCTGGCCAATAAGCCCTTAGGAGCCAGGAAGCTTAGGAGGCCATGATTTTAGGCTATCTCTACATGGTAAATTCAAATGATTCACAGCTTCTGTAGGAACTTCAGTAGGAACCCAGTGACGTGTGGTTCCATGAAAACACAAGGGCCTCTCAGAGCTTTCTCTAGAAGGGACGTGCACGAGAGGCAGGCCAGAGAGGTTTCCTCAGGATGTGAAGCTGATGGAAGAGGGGAAAGCTCTAAGGTGAGAGCTGGGAGGGTTAACTCTTCTGTATGTGGAATAAGGATCAAGACATAATTGTGACAGAGGGCTTGGTATATATATATATATATATATATATGTGTGTGTGTGTGTGTGTGTGTGTGTGTGTGTGTGTGTCGCCCCTCTTTTCTTTATTTCTGCTTCCTGTCTTGTTTATCATTATCTTTCTTTAGATTAGTTTGGTTTCTTATTGTTATCTTATGTTGAAAACTCACAATAAAATTGAATATGAAAAGTAATAAAGCTTTATCTACACTGCTGAAGCACCACAAACATTTTAAATGTTTAATTCAACATGTTTGAACGATGTGTGTCTGAAATGTGGACATATTCTAAGTTTGCAGCAATAAGAATGCCAGCATTAAACATTTCAATTGACAGCTAGTATGAAGGACTGGAAAACAACACTACTCTGCTTTATTAGCTTGGTCATGCTATACTAAAATCGGGGCTTAGGAGTATTCATGCAAAAAACAAGTAGTGCCTTTTCCCTTTACTAGCAACAGTGCTGAGCCACATCTCAGCAGGAAAATCTCCTGGCAAGCAAGCAGCAGCTGCCTTAGTGGTAGCATTGCTAACTGGAGCCTGTTTTATTTAGGCACAGATATTTTCTTTTTATCAGTATTTTTACATAAACCCTTGTTTTCACCTGGACAAAGGTTCACCTGTCATTAAAATAAAGCTTCAAACCATAAAATCTCTCACACACCATTAGATTACATTTTGGGTACCACTTCAGTTTTTCTTCATGTGACAAAAGTATTGTTAAAAAAAGTTTTCTTGCAAGGGGTTGCTTTTAAAATGAGGTCCCCGCTGCTCTTTCTTTTTAAAGTGCAAAAAACTAATCCTGAAGATTGTGCTTCTTAAAACACTAAATCATTGTTTGATTTCTACTTCAGAAATACCAAAGCACATCAGTGCAGATGTTCCAGGCCTTGACAGAGAACCTGTAGTCTTATGGTGGGCTCAGACATGTGGTGACAGCGGTGGCAGCAGCAGCAGCGAGTCCTTTAAGGCCTCCTCTTTCAAAGTGGCATTTGGTCATTTAAGCAAGACAGACATTGCAATAGAGTTTAAAATGATGATTAGATGTGAAAGTAAACAAGGACTTACAGTGATGAAAAAGCAGCATGAAATGAGGCAAATTAAATTATTAGATGCAGCTCCTATTATAAACCAGTTCCAGCAATTTCTTTCTGTTATTTTGTGAGTCAGCACCATCAGTCCGACAATCAGTCTTCTAAAACGTAATGATTCTAACATTTAATTTTCAATATAAGCAAGGAAACCATGCTTTAAAACCCCACATTCTTCAGGCCTTGTTTTCATACGATGAAAAAGTAAAAAGTGCCATATTTTTAAAATAAATAAAACATCTCCCCCTGCTAACTCAAAGGGTCCAACAACAGGAGGCCAGATGTAAGACAAGAGAGGGGCTCCTGTACCTTTAATATTTGTGTAGAAGAGGGAATGTCACAACAGGTGCAGCTTTCATAACAAGAAACATCTGCTGATGCTTCCCTCTTCTACTATTCAAGGTGCAGAGTTCCTTTCCTCTTCTGCGTCTGGCTACCCTAGCCAACAGTGACATGGGCATTCGGAACATTTAAGACATCTCCAAGGGCCACACCATCTGCATACCTAATTCATTTCATTTCTTTGGAATGGGATATAGGAAGTATTGAGGCGCAGCAACAAGAAGACAAAGTCCAAGTTGCAGGAGGGGGGAATGTCTCTTAAACATGCTATCCTCCAAAATCAGACTGCCCCACCCCCTCAAAAAAAAAGGGAATTTGCAAAACTTTAATAGATTTTTTAAAAAATATAAAATATTTCCCTGCAATGTTACAGGCAGCACTGTGTCAGCACCTGAGAAGCAGGGAATAGAAATAAAGGGGAAATTACCAGAATTAGCATTGATTTTGATGCTTAGGTTACTTTGCTCTGATGGAAGAGTAACTGTTGAAACAAACAGAAGAAAACCAGGCTTCTATCTCTGAGAGAGAACATAAGAGATATGGAGAGCCCTGTGGAGGTTAACAAACCACCTTCTGCTGTCAGTTTTGGTCTGAATAGGAAAACTAGCTGGCACCCTTAAAAAATTATCATTGCAGGCCAGTAAAGAACTGGTATCTGAACTGGCGTGAATATAGCATAATTCTTTGACTTCGGTGCAACTGAACCTCAAGAAATGTGCAAGATTATTTCCACTGACTTCAGATAAGCTAAGTCTTTCTATGCCATCTGGCATTTTGCAGTGTTTACAGCCACATCAGAGATCAGCTTTCCCTAAGTAACCCTTTGGCATTATTTGTGCTCCCAGAGGGAAACAGGAAAGGAATAGAGGTACAGGTCAAAACACAGACAACCGAAACACTGGGTGGAACAGCAGCATTACCAGCATCAACTAGGCTGATTGAAAGGAATGTATCACTGGGTTGGGGTATTTTTTGTTTTAAATCCAGCATGATTTTTTTTTATTAAAAAAAATTGATCCCAAAATTATTCAGTTCTTCCCTATCACAATGGCTCAGCTAGTTCGCGACACTGGACAGCACTGTGTTTCCACAGATGCAGCTCCTTAGCAGTTGAGTGCACATCTGCAGGGACTACATTTCACCTGCGCACACTCATTCAGGAAGGCAGTCCCTTTCACAAATTCTAAATACAAAATGCGCCTTTCCCTTTCCCCTCCTCCTTTGATATCCAAAGAGTTCACTTCAGTCCAGCTAATTTAGGAGAGGGATGTTTAGGAGACCTACATGAAAACAAAACATTTTTATTTCAGAAATTACCCGCCTTTTCGAATGTCAAACTGGCCTCCCTTTAATGGATAGCAGCCCCTTGGCTTCCCCAGAGGCCTGAAACCAAGAATGGGTGGGGGTGGGGGAGGAAAGTCCTTTGCTCTTTCTTGATTTGTTGGTCATTCTCCCCTAGCCAAGAGGAGAAAAAGCAGGTCTGTAAGACAGTCTGTGCTAACCAGTGTCTTTTGAGATTGATAATTAGAAAGGAGATATGCATAATCAGGTATCTTCCCTGGCATAATGGTGAGGCCATGTTGACTGGAGGGGGGGGACTTGGTTTGGAGACAACATTCATTCCCCCCCCATTACTGTTTTAACTTCTTGTGCTGTTGCTCTGATAGCACGGTGACAAAGAATACTATGATGAATTCCAATTGGATGGGGAGAGGTGTGAGGGGTTAATCCCGGCGCATTGGAAGCATGTCTAGGAAATATTCAGCAATGCCGATGAAATACACAACTTGTGCAATACCAAAGAGTGGGGCGATGACCAGGGCTCTGCAATATGCCCCCTTCAAAAAGGCTGTGGGACCTTCATTCCGCCAGATTTTCCTAAAAAGGCACACAAAGAAATCAGATGAGACTATGTGTGTTCACCACAACTCCCATTTAAGTGTTGCCAATCAGAATATCTGTTACTTCAGTCATGCCCGCCCCGCCCATTTTGCTTTAGAGCACACAGTTATCTATAACAAACAGGCTTTCCCACATGAGCAGCATACTTTACAAAGGCATTTCAAGTACAATGAAAAACCAATTTCCTGCTCATCTCAATGGCTATTTGGCCAGGAATAGCATAAAAATGGTTATCTGCTGCAAATTTCGTTCACATATGTGTCAGCCTTTGCCCAAACAAAGCTCAGACCAGGTGATTTTCACATCCTTGTTTGGGACACACAACACTGGGTGGGTTTCCAGGCTTGCTTGTAGTGTATTTTAAAAGCAATGCAAAATAATGATGGGAGAGGTGCAGGCAGCAGCAGTTGATGGGGAGGTGTCTGACTTCCTGGTGATGGAGTTGCTGCCACTTAATGGGTGAGAAGAGTGGGAGGGACCAGGCAGTGGGGATGCCAGCAGTGTGTGGTTGCCCCTGTGGAGCCAATCTTGCACTCCCGCCAGCGTACCTGCACAGCGCCAATGCCCAGGCCAAGCCCCCTGCTGCTTCACCCTTCCCCTTGCTGCTAAGTGGCAGTGACTCTGGGAGCTCAGATGGGCAGTGCTGTCCCTTCCTCCCAGTTGCTAATGGATGCAGGATGAGACACACTTCAAGGTTGGAACCTATCAATGGGCCCAGTTAAAAAAGCAAGGGCCCTGCTGGATCAGACCAAGGGCCTATCTAGTCCAGCACCCTGTTCCCTGCAATAGTCAACTGGATGCCTATGGGAAGTAAGTCCACAGCTGCCTCTCTTCTACTGTCGTTCCCCACATCCGCTGGCAACTTGTGCCTACTATGGCGTCTCCAATCCTGGAGGAAGTGTATAGCCATCAAGGCAAGCTGCCATAGTTACTATACAGTATTTCATTCACTATATTTTAATAAGAATCTCACAGTTTTATCAAAGTGGATTTGGATACATCCAGCAGCAGCAGCCCCCACAAGAAACATGTATCAAATTCATATACGAGTAAAATTCTGTTTTTATGCCTGCAACACAATCCTTTTGGTGGCAAGCCTCTGTGTTCACTGGTAGCCTTGGGACAAACACCCAGGTTTCGCTGATTGCTGATCACCCTCAAAAGATCATTTACCTGGCACAGTCTATGATCCCTGAGTATGTGTCCTCGTTGACCCCCCTCTGCAAGGACTGCAATCTTGTCTTGATTACTGGGGAAAGAAGACAGCAGCATTAGATACAATCAGTGCTCTGGTCTGTATCTAATTAATTTCTCCAGGCTTCCTTTAGCTGTTAAGGTATATACAAGTATCCCAGCACTGCTAAGCTGGAAGAGATTTTTATGACCTCCCCTTTTACAACTCTCTCTCCATGAACAGATTAGTCTTTATCATCTGGACATGCTTTTTACTAAGCTCTTCATTTGCTTCTGTCATTATGATGAAGTCGCCTCCCTCCTTTAACACATTATGCTGCACCTCTACCACATTCTGCATCAACTGCAAGGCTGTTAGCCTCTGACTATCACTAAGAGAGGGACGCGCGTGGCGCTGTGGGTAAAAGCCTCAGCGCCTAGGGCTTGCTGATCGAAAGGTTGGCGGTTCGAATCCCCGCGGCGGGGTGCGCTCCCGTTGCTCGGTCCCAGCGCCTGCCAACCTAGCAGTTCGAAAGCACCCCTCGGGTGCAAGTAGATAAATAGGGACCGCTTACTGGCGGGAAGGTAAACGGCATTTCCGTGTGCTGCGCTGGCTCGCCAGATGCAGCTTTGTCACGCTGGCCACGTGACCCGGAAGTGTCTCCGGACAGCGCTGGCCCCCGGCCTCTTAAGTGAGATGGGCGCACAACCCTAGAGTCTGTCAAGACTGGCCCGTACGGGCAGGGGTACCTTTACCTTATCACAAAGAAGTGGGACTCTGCCACAAAATCTTGCAATGCATTTCTGGTGTATGAGTGCTACCTGAGTCTGTGGCTGATGGAGCTATTTGCTCCCTAGATGTGCCGTGGGAGGGAGGCGGGCGAGTCGGGCGGCTGTAACGTGCCCCACATAGGCACACGCGGGGCGGCGAGCAAGCTCCCTCCCACATCCCATCGCCGGCTCTGCACCAGGCGGTAGAGCTCGGCGAAGTCGCCGCGCTGGAAGGCCAGCAGCGCGCGCGCCTTGGCCAGGCTCTCGCCTGCCTGCGCCTCCAGGCACGGCGCCTCGGCATCGGGCGGCAGCGAGCCCAGGAAGCGGCCCAGCCGGCCGGGGTCGCCCGCCTGCAGCAGCGCCTCGCACACGCACGAGACCTGCTCCGCCGAGAAGCGCGGCAAGCGCGGAGGATCGGGCGCGGCGGAGGCCAGCCCCGCGCTTGGAGAGGACGCAGCAGCCGTCGCCAAACCCGATCCTCCTCCTCCTGCTCCGCCGCCGTCCTCTGGCTCTCGGCTGGGAGGAGCCTGCGGCGATGGGGCGGGCGCTGAAGTTGGCAGACGTTGGCGCGCCTCCTCGGCAGCGCCTTCGTCCTCCTCCTCCTGCCTCTGCTCTCCTCCGGCGGCGGGGGCGCGCCGCCCTCCCCGGCCGGGGGGCTCGGCGGGGCCCGCGGGGAAGGAGGCCATGTTCGCGGCGCGCGGGATCGCGGCCCCCCTCGCCCGCCTCCGGCCCGCTCCCCTCCCCCTGCGCGCTGCCCTAGCCGTGCGGGTCTCCTCCCTCTGCGCCGCCGTCCCCTTTCCACATCCTAGGAGCCGCGGTCCGCCTACCGCCCCCGGGCCGCGGCGCGGCTCCCAGCCCGGGCTGGCCTCCGCCTCCTGGGACGCGCGCCCACCCCCGCGGCCCCCCAAACTTCGGAGCAACTGAATGCTTTCCCATGTAGAACAGTCCCTGCAAAAAAAAACCTAGCATATTTGGAAGAGGGATGCTAGCCTAACCATTACCTTCTATGCTGTTACTATTTTTTTATTTTTTTTTACATAAGTAAAAAGTGACCTTTCCCCATCTGGCATGGTGGTGTGCCTCGAGATTTTTTTCATGAAACAAGTGTGCCTTTGCCCAAAAAAGGTTGGGAAACACTGCCCTAGAGGGTTCAGATGTTCCTTTGTTAAGGTGTAGTACCCAAGGGCTCCCTTCTTCAAGGAAGAAACATGCTTTAACAGGCTACAGCGCTGGTTAGCTCAGGAGAGCTGTAAGCCCCCTCATTGCCTGGAGGATGTTCTCCCCGCCCCTCAATCAAATGGCAAGAGATCAGGCAGAGATCACTTCTATATCTGACATGCATTTAGCGTCCCTTCAAAGATAATCTGTAGTACAGAATTTCCCCTTCCTACAAGAAGGGCCTGTGGCTGGCTGCATCTCTTCAATTCTCTTTCTCAAGTGGAGACTATACAAACCTCCACTAGCTGGAACAATCAGGATAGCAGCTTCTCTTACTGTGGTACTGGGTGCTTTGCAACTTAGATCTTTTGCCCCTCTTTCTTAACACTGCTGTAGTCCACTGCATTATATGCCAGCTTGCCTCCTGTGACACTGTGCCTCGTGAGAACACAAAAACACCAGGGCTCACACTCTTTCCTCAGTTTCCCCCTGTCCCCAACTCTTCTGGTGAACCTCCCCACATTTCACACCCACAGCACCTTGACTGAACTTTGCTGCAGTACCTACCATCACAAGGATTCACTGCTACAGCTGCCGTGCTGCCAGCCAGGCACCCAGCAAGGAAGGACACATAGAATGGAGCCTTGACATCCGGGGTTGTCTGCCCTAGTTTGTTCAGGTTTGCAAACAATGGAAAATAAACAATGGAAAACGGTACATCCCTGCAGAAGGAGAAGCAAGACCATGAGGGAAGAGCTCTTTCCTTTAGTCCTTTAATACCAAGCTGCCCCATGCCAATTGTAAGGGGTGGGTAGTTGTGCACAGAAAGACAATTCCCCTTTCCATAGTTTTCAAATGCATCAGGTATTTCTCTTTATACACTGTTCTCATTTAGTACTATGAAACTCCAGTGAAGTATCGCCATCTCCCTCCCTTACCCACTCTGTCCCCATCCCTAACTGAGTCAATACCCAGGGAACAACATGTGCTCCTATTCATTCCTTGTTGTTACTCCAGACTACTGGGCACCATTTGGATTTTAGGTCCTCCAGAGGGCCTAAAGGGGTGCCCTACCTTAGCAATGTAGCGCCAAGTCCCTTATAAAGTCCTGCGATGCCTTTGCTCCGAAGCAAGTCCCTTGTGATTTGCATTGCTGTCGTCCGTGTCTCCACAACAGACTCTGCTGCCCCAGCACCAGTGGAAGGGTTTAACTGAGCTTGTGCGGCCATTAGCTTCTTCTGAGCAGCTGAAGAGGAATCAAGACAGAGTTGTCATTTACCGCAATAAACATGAATGCAGCATGCAAGTTACAGACAATAACATAACATAAATGTCTTGCTTCTGACAGGAGGACAAATAGGCCAGCCACAAATGTAATGAACTGAACATTGCTTAAGGTCAGTTGTACTGCCCTCTAATAAGTCACTAGAAACTGCCTTTATCCAGTTAAGTTGTGGTGTTGAATTTTAGCTCTAAGTAAAATATTTAGTAAAATATTTATGTGGCTGTCACAAAACCATATTCTCTGAGCATATCACAGGCTTTAACATACAGTGCACTCCACTGTCATATATATATATATGTCATATATATATATATATATGACAAAGCATTTACCCAGAGATCTATGCAGTCTGTTCACTTCTTCTCCCCCAAACTACTTCCACTGCACTTCTCCTATTTTATCAGAAGATGGAGCCCATGTAAATCCCTTGAGCTAATATATTTGCTCACATAGCCTCTGTTGCAACTGAGGCACTAAATCCCAGTATTGTGCTGCAGTGAGAATCTTTCTGCAGCCTTCTAATTTAACACATTAGTAACAGAGGATTTGAAGTACAACTGGAAACTGGTAAGATAGAAAAAGATTCAGAGGCAAATGGGCAAATCAGAAGCAGAGGGAGATACTAAGTCCCAGCGATGAGTGGTTGTTATTCACAATAGTCCTGTCTAACAGGATATTTATACTGGAGCTTTTGAAAACAAACAGCGTTGGTGGTTCAATTCTGTGGTTGCAAAAATTTCCCACTGAATTCCTCTGTGATAAGCAGTTCCTGCATTATTAGAATTCATTGTTAATGCAATAGATAGTGAGTATCATTAAGCTATCCCCTCTCCCAACTTACACACACACACACACACACACACACACACCTTTCCCCCTATGTTCCACACCTGTCAAAAGAAAAGATCCAGTATTCTAAATTTTGTCCTGAAATTTACTTGGGGGAAAATGAGACAACATAACAATGGTAGGTAAGGTTGTTTGGGGCAAAAACACAAGTTCTTAATGCTTAAGGGCTTTGGCACATTGCCAGGCCTTCTAACTTGGGTGGAAACAGAAAGAAAGTGTCATAGAAAAAACACACCATAAGGGGCAACTAGGCAACTAATGCTCCTCCCTTTTTTGCATTAGTTATCCAGTTTAATAATTCACAAGCTGAACGCAAGCTATTGTTTTACCAGCCTCCTCTTCCCTATACAGATATCTAAAGATACAATTTCAGGCTCTCTCACATCAGGAGAATGGAAAGAGAACAACTCATCATTTGGCTCACAAGGCTGAGGTCCTTCCCAGTGATGTAATATATCCTGGAGCCACTCAGGGAAAGAACGACTTCAATTAACAGAACTGCTGAAAGGGCTCCAAATCCCTAAAATTTATTAAGGTATATATTGTATATTGTAACCGATTATGTCATTATGTTGTGTTCTAATTATACTCAGTGGTGTGCCCCACATTTTACTTATTCACCGTTGATGGCCTTTGGGCTAAGCAATAAAAACTTAGTTTTGGATATTTGTATATCACCCCTTAATAAAACCTGATCCCAGCGCAGTTCAGTCCTATTTCCCCACCACCACTGCCCTCCCATCATCTGCGAAGCCATGGGAGACATTTTCTGTTGCTGCATGGGCATGGTGAGGAGAGAAGAGAGACAGGTGAGGTACCAATTCGGCCTGCATCCTGCAGCTGGATTTTGAGCATCTCCATGGGAGTGGTGACAATCACCTGGCAGGTCCCTGCCCCACAGCCAGCCAGCATTTCCTTAATCAGGGTCAGCTTCTTCCTGACAAAAAGAGAGGAAAGAGAGGGAGAGAGAGACAAAGAAAAATCAGCTGATTGACCCCAACTGGGTTAACCTGCCTCCAGGCAAAGCAACAGCCAGGCTTGTTTCTCTCTGTGAGAAGCCCTGTCTCTGTCACTTATGGATAACAGAAGGAACAAACCCTGGGGAATGTTAGTCATCAGACATGCCCAATTTTGACTTGATTGGTAATGAATGCAATGCAGTAAAAAAGGCTGGAGGTAACCAAGTGACTTAAACTATCCAAGGCAGTGAAGAGACACTCAAGAGAAACAAAAAATGGTGTTGGATATCCAGATGCACAGTGCTGAATAATACACCACCAAAAACCAGCTTTCACCACAACCAAAGCCATTCTTTGGTGAGAAAGTCTCCCCAAAAGCTCAGGGAAATGCAGAAGCTTTGCTTCTGATCCAGTGAGCATCTGTTGCCATTGTGCTCCTACGAAAGGCACAAGCAAGCTAAACAAGTATAATCCCCCAGGCACTTAGGCAAGCAAGTGCACACCCAAAGAAAATGAAATTGTAAACACTGCAGGGGAGGGGGTGCAGCAGAGAGAATTTCCAGAAGACTAGTTGTGTTAGTATGGACCAGGCAAAAATGTGAAGGTTTGTGGTCAACATGGGGCTATTCAGGGGCTCATCTTGCAAATAAAACCTCTCTGATGGCAAGCAATTCATCTATCCCTGATCTCAGATCCCCAGCAGTAAACACAGAACACATTCAACTGCCTTCATCAGTTCTTCTCATAATGATTCATCCTCTGTCCAAATATGAGACATATAATCCACAGGCAGAACCGTCACTGTCATACCAAAATCCATTGGCCAAGGGGAGAAAGCAGGAACTATGAAGGAGGAAAGCTACTGTGCAGCAGTGGCTTGTGAGGGGATGTGGGGGTGCAGAGAGGCAATGCACCCACCAGAACAAGCATAGGACAAGTTGAGCTGAGCTCTGGAGCAACTGCGGTCACCCCAGAGCTCCCCCAATCTTGCCACCACTGTGATTTTATTTAATTGTATCTATTTTTATATAGTGATGTATGGAAGTGAGAGCTGGACCATAAAGAAGGCTGATCGCCAAAGAATTGATGCTTTTGAATTATGGTGCTGGAGGAGACTCTTGAGAGTCCCATGGACTGCAAGAAGATCAAACGCATCCATTCTTAAGGAAATCAGACCTGAGTGCTCACTGGAAGGACAGATCGTGAAGTTGAGGCTCCAGTACTTTGGCCACCTCATGAGAAGAGAAGACTCCCTGGAAAAGACCCTGATGTTGGGAAAGATGGAGGGCACAAGGAGAAGGGGACGACAGAGGATGAGATGGTTGGATAGTGTTCTCGAAGCTACAAACATGAGCCTGACCAAACTGCGGGAGGCGGTGGAAGACAGGAGTGCCTGGCGTGCTCTGGTCCATGGGGTCATGAAGAGTCGGACACGACTAAACGACTAAACAACAACAAATTTTTATATATTTTTTGTTTTATGGTGTAAACCACTTTGAGACTATGTGGAATAAAGCAATAACATAAAGTTGTTGCTGGTGTTGTAACAAAGTAAATAAATAAGATGTTCATTAGGTTCTTTAAAGGCAGGGATGAGGAGCATTTGGTCCTCCAGGAGATAATGGTGTAACTAGACCACAACTCTCATCATCCCAACCATTGGCCATAATTTCTGGGACTGATAGGAGTTGGTAGTCTAGCATCATTGATGTCTGGAGGGCCACACCTTCCCCACCACTCTTTACAAGGGATCACAAACTGGACAGCCTAAATAACCAAGTGCCTAAGATAGATCAAAGGCAAAACAAATCAGAAAGAATTGGAGATCTGAAATGACCTGTCCACTTTTAGTCCCTTAAACCTGCAGGATATTAAACATCTCATTTATAATGGGAGTCCATTTAAAACAAAACAAAACAAAACAAAACAAAAACATGACACTTTGCCTGTAGCAGAAAGCAAAGGTAGAGTCCTGCATATGCATGTAGAGCTGTATCACTGGACCACGCTCTCCTGCGCTGCTTCCTCCTGCACTGCTTCCTATTAATTTGCAGCATTAAGGCAGGCAGTAAGATTTCCATTTACTAGAAGGTCACACATTAAGTGAGAGAGAGAACATTCTCTCACTGTGTCCCATCCAAATTCCCTGGCTCTTTCCACTCTGGAATGATGTGATTGTCTGATGGAGCTGTGCAGAATCTGTCCATGTGTTCAGCACCATTTACTCAACTTTAATCTAACCCCAATTAATAAAGAAGTTGGTAATCCTACTGGAGGTGTGGGGGAGGTGAGGTCAACTTACAACTGCTCCATTTAGACCAGTACTCAGGTTTAAGAATGGTTTAAACTGGATATCAGGCTTATCTCTATATGGCCTTTCAGGTAGCCCTCCACCTTGCTTACTTGTATTAGCAAGGTTCAGATGCCTGCTTGAAGATCCACCCATGAAGGCATTTCCCAATGGCTGCTTCCTCCAGCAATTATGCTGCTTCTATGAACAGACACATTGATTCAACACATTATCACTAGCATCCCACAACGTATGTCAATTGCTATGATGGTCGCTTGCCAAATGGAGAAGCAGGATTGGCATAGATGGGACAGCAACCGTTGCACAAAACTAGGCAATCAAAAGTGAAAACCCTCCCAACATCTGGGGGATCCTGTTAAGATACTTCCCATTTAACATCCTGCGTTGCTGCTACAACAATACTGGGAAGCTCCTGACTAAGAAGAAACTGCTGCTATTGCAATAACCAAATGTACTGCAGTACTTTGAATTAGTAGAATATTATCTGACACATTGAATCCCAGCACTTTGCAATGGGAGGGATAAGGATAAACTTATGCCATCACTTTAGTTGCCCACAGTAAGGAGAAAAACATCAGGAAGCAGCAGGCTATGTGAATTTGGTTTAAAGCCCAAAGAGATCCATATGAAGGAGAAAAATCTCTTTACAAATACGGAAAATTCTCCAGACACAAAACTGCTCAGTTGCTGTACTTCCTCAGGAGATTTAGAACAGCCAAGGATCCTGGCCAATGGATGGCAACTTGCCCTAAATGCTAAAGGTGCAAACGGCGGCCTGTCAAGTTTACTCCTTCCAATCCAAGCACAACAGCTTTGAAGCTTAGCATCTGTGAACCGTCAACAACTTCAACCCTGTGGAAAAAGTCAGGTAGCATAAAGTTCACCCCCTTTGCCTAAGGGAACTGCCACTGCTGAAAGCTTCCTCAAGTACTTTGTTGACTTCCCTAAAGATATAACAGAATTGCTTCAGGGAACTACAGGCAGTTAATTTCTCAGACTGCATGGCTGCTTTTTGGATTCATCCTCCTCTCATCTGATGGGATTATCGGTGTAAGGCCGCAGTGAAGATTATTAAATCACTAAATATAGATTTCTCCTTTGAGAACATAGGAAGGAATTTTTCCATATCAAATCACATTGGTGTGAAGGGAAATTAAAGAGCTGTTGACATTTTCCCCAAACAATTCATTATTGCAGTTGACTAGCTACATGCATGTGGAAGTGGAATCTGGTAGGGAGGGCCTCCATTTTCTATAAAGTCATACCTCAGGTTACAGACGCTTCAGGTTGCGCGTTTTCAGGTTGTGCACCATGCTGAACCCGGAAGTACCGGAACGGGTTACTTCTGGGTTTCGGCACTCGCGCATGTGCAGAAGCACTAAATCGCGCTTTGCGCATGCGCAGAAGTGACGGATCGCAACCCGCGCATGCGCAGACGTGGCACTGCAAGTTGCGAATGTGCTTCCCACACGGATCACGTTCACAACCCGAGCGTCCACTGTATTCTTTCTCCGCCCCTCAAAGCTCTTAGCCACCTCACAACTTTAGGAGAAAATGTGGATATCTACAGGGAGTTACTACTTTATAACTTGAAGTGTAGGGGGGAAAGTTGGTGGCAACCCTTTGAGAAACATTCTCAGTATATATGGGGTATATGCTGCAGTCACTTTTTTGAAAGTCTCTAAAACAAGAGACACAAACTTGATTTCTGTCACAGTGAGTAGAATATAGTGCATAGTCTACTAGTGGACAACTGGCTTATTTCTAGCAGAACGCAAAGCACCTGCTGGTTGCTGGGATATTTGCAGAGAATACTAAGACTAGGTGGATCTTAGTCTGATCCAGCAAGGTGACAGTTTCCATTTCAAGCAAGAGGATATAATCAAGATCAGTAAATACAGTGAAGTAAGGTGGCCAATACTAAATTATTCAGGGCCATTAAAACAAGATTGTGAAGAACTCCAAACAGACTGAGCTAATGGGCAGTAATATGGCAAAGCATTTCAATGTATACAAGTGTAAAGAGGAGCGTGTTGGGTTTAAAAAATCTTAATTTCACATAAATGTTTATGGGGTCTGAACTGGTGGTGACAGACCAGGAATGAGACCTTGGTGTCCTAATGAATAGGTTTCATGAAGATGTTGACTTAGAATGCCACAGCCATGAAAAAGGCAAATGCCATGCTAGGGATCATTAGGAAAGGAAGTGAAAATAAAACAGCTGGTTTCATAATGCTGTTATTCAAATCTATGGTACTATCGCATTTGGAATGCTGTGTACACTTCTGGACATGCAGAAATGGGCAGCCCAAATTATCAAGGGGCTCCCCTATGAGGAAAGGTAATAGTATTTGGAACTCTTTAGTTTAGGGGAAAGCTGAGTAAGAGGCAACATGATAGACACTTAAATAATTTATTTATGGTATGAAGAAAGTGGATGAAGAAAAGTTTCTCTCACACACATAACACTACAACTCATGGACATCCAATGAAGCAGAATATTAATTTTTTCAAGACAGATAAAGGAAAATACTTATTCACACAATGCATAATTAAATTATGGAAGTCATTTCCACAAGAGGCAGTGATGGCCTCCAAATTGGATGGTTTTAAAATTTAGGCAATTTCTGTTGCGTATTTCTGTTCTCCAAGCAAAATAGAACACAA